GGGGAAATTAGAAAATATTATAAACAACTTCATGTTGATAAAGTCAGCAACTTTGATGAAACGGCCAAATTCCTTGACTATGACTGAGACCATTTTGACTCAGCTCTGCAGATTCCTAGTTGTGAGGCCTTAGGCAAGTTACTTAAGCCTCAGTATAATCCTGAGACTCAGTCTCTAAAAGATAAGCTGTAACTCCAATCTCTGTATCTCGGTTTCTGAAAGTAAGGTCTATCTTAGACAGTTGTGAGGATTAAATAAATTAATATATCCAAAGTGCTTAGAACAGGACCCTGTAAGAAATATGTGCTGTGTAAATGCTAGCTTAAACAAATGCCTCCTGCTCACCTTCCATTTACTTTGCCCGATGAAATCTCCCTCTTTCTGTCCTTCCCTTCCTGACAGAGCAGCGTTTTTCCTCATGGGAGTAAGGACAATTTTCCATCCCTACAATATTCCCTCCTTTTTCTTCCCACCCCCATTCCAATTTTCCCTTTAAGCACTAAAGCATAAACTAGTACTACACTCACCTCCCTTTTTCTAGAACTTATACCTCTATTAATGCATCCTGAGAATCCAGCATCGTTTTTGATTAATCCTGCAACTTGACAGTTCAGGTTAAAAGGAGTTTCCACACCATAGAACACTTGTTATTATTATTTTATTATTATTATTACTATTATTATTATTAGCATTAGAATGGCTATGAATAGTATTGCCATTATCATCAGCAATTTCCAATTCTCTCTGAAATGTATTTAAGTCATAAATTAGTTCCCATGGGTCTCAAAATGGATTGAAAATCTTCACAGGAGACTGAGAAATATTTAAGGCTTATCCCAGATTGTTGGTGTTAATTTGCAATCTCTATATCCACCTCCCAGGTCTAGATCAACCTTCTGGAGAACCCGACTACCAGCTGCCCACAGAGCAGCCTGCAGGCAAGTCCTCAATCCCTGAACACCCCTGTCTCCCCTGAAAAAATTTTTGGTCTCTAATTCGATTTCCTCTGTCGTGTGGCCATAGCCCTTTAAGCCTTAACTCTGCCCTGTAGGCCCTCACCAATATCCTTAGCTCTTCCTTTTGCCTAGATGTGATAAATTTTCTCTCTTCCCAGTTCAGTTTAATTCTTAAAGAATTAGTAGACTTCATGCCCTGTGCAGAGCCTGCATCAGTTGGTTTTTGCTGCATAACAAACCACCCCAAATATGGCCACTTAGCGCAACAAACATTATTTCTTGTGATTCTATGAGTGACTGAACAGTTCTGGTCTGGGCTACAGTCAGCAAGCAGCTCTGCTGGGACTGGTTGGTTTGGATGACCCCCTCCTCTTAAGTCTAACAATCTGACTCTTGGTTAGGACAATGGGCCACATGTCTCTGCTTCGCTTGTTCACGTGGAGATGGTCACTGGAGTCCCAAGAGCAGCAAGAGGGGACAAGTTCCAATTTATAGGCACTTTTCAAGCTTCTGATGCTGTCGTATTTACTGTTGTCTTATTGGTTGAAGCAAATGACATGGCTCAACTCAGAGTCAGTGTGGAAGGGGAATACTCGAGAGTGTGGAAACAGGGAGAGAATTATGACCATTTTGCAAATAATCCCCTGTAGAGCCTGAGAAGTTTGCAAGGTTGCAAATTCAGTTGTTGTTCGCAATGAAAAGAATTGCTTGCCTCATGAAATTGAAAACTCCAAGTGTGGCTGCATTCAGGTGCTCAAAAATTTCACCAAGGATATGTTTCTCACTCTGTCTCGACTTTGCCTTTATCTCTGATGATTTCCTTCTCAAGTTCTTTCATTAAGAAGGAAAAGAAGTCCTTCCACACCTTCAGCTTTCATTCTACTTCTTAGCAGCTAGCAGAAGAGTATCCTAAATGTTTTGGCAAAAATCCACTGTGAAGATGCAGGTGGGGGTATAGCTCAGTGACAGAGCGTGTGCTTGGCCTGCATGAGGTCCTGGGTTCAATATCCAGTGCCTCTGTTAAGGGAAAAATAAAATATGACACACTAATGAATAAAAGTGAAATGTTGGTGGGAAGGATACTATAAAAAAAAATCCACTGTGGGTCAGATGCTAGTCTCTGAACTGACCACTGTGGGAAGAGAGATGGGTGCTCTTATCAGCCAGGCTGGGCCATCTGTCTTCCACGGAGTCCTGCAGAGCCATCCAGACTGAGAGCAGGGGAGTGGTTGTTTCCTTAAAGGAAACAGAAGGAAGCAGAAGATGGGGAAGTGGATGCTAAGCAGATATCTACTTAGAGGTACTTAGTCTTGTCCTCAGGGATATAGCAGAAGATTCTGATATTGTCTGGGAAGGAAGTTTGTGCAAAGATGAAGTCATTTGGGATGGAGTTTGAAGGGAGAATAGAAGTTTGCTTGAGAAGAAAGGACATTTAAATACAGACACTTGACTACTTAAAGGCTTAGTGGTGAGGGTTTGCCTCAGTGATTCTAGAAACTGCCAGTTGTTAGTTTGTGTGGCTGGAGGGTCCAATATCAGTGACTGTAATTGGACAATCAACTATAGACAAGCAAGGATGGAGATCTGGGAAGAGGCCAGATCACAGAAGGTCTTGAATGCCCAGCTAAGGAGCTGAAGTTCCTGCTTGAGTCCATACATGGGCCTTGGCTTGGGTAAAGGTAGGATCCACTGTTAATGGCTTGGTTTGAGAAAGGAGCCATTTGCTCTGGGGTGGCAAGGATGAGTGGACATGGAAACTCCTCACTTGCTTCCCTGACCTAAGAGGAGGGCTTTGCTTGGTCAGGGACAGGCTTTTATATAGAACCCTAATTGAGGTCTACCAATTGTTTTGGGCTCACTAAGGGATAACTTCTGCCCCACAGGACCCTCAGAGCTGCCCCTGCTGCCTGTGCTGTTTGCTGTTGGGGGTCTTCTGATGCTTTCTAATGCCTCCTGTGTTGGGGGATTCCTATGGCACCGGAGACTGAAGCGTCTTGCTGAGGGTGAGGAGAGCTCCTTCCCCTGATGGAATGGAGGCCTAAGGGTGATGGGAGCCCTGGGGCTGCTGCATATCGAAGGTCTCCCAGGGCCAGGTGGGCCTGAGGGCAGTGTCTCTGACTCCTATTTTTCCTACTTCCCTCAGGCATCTCAGAGAAGACAGAAGCAGGGTAAGTGGGGATATTTGTCTGTAAGGAGGCTCTGGGGAGGAGGTTTGAGACTGACAGCTGTCAGAGGGTCAGCACCCAATTGCCCTCCATGCCTCCATCCTGGAAGGTCAGAGGAAGACCGAGTCAGGAATGAATATGAGGAGAGCCAGTGGACTGGAGACCGGGACACTCGAAGCTCCACAGTGAGTGGGGGTGGTCCTGACACCCCACTGATAGGGAACTGACAGTGACTCAAATTCCACCATTACCTTCATGCTAATCATTGCCCTTTCCAGGAATGATGGAGACAGAAGGTGGAAAAGACTTTATCTGTTTTTTTTGGGGGGGTGTTGACAGGTTAGCACAACAGATGTAGAGCCATATTACCACTCCATGAAGGACTTCAGCCCCCAGCTGCCCCCCACATTGGAGGAGGTGTCTTATCCTCGAGGTGAGTCATGAGCACCTTTGAACTCCTCCCTCTCATAAATACCCTGACATCCAGACCTGGTGCCCTGATCATCCCTGCCTTTCACTCCAACTCCAGGTCTCACAGGTCTTGAATGGGAGGATATGGCCTTTCCTGGGCATTTGTATGATGAGGTGGAAAGACTGTATGCCCCATCTGGGGCCTGGGGACCCCTCTACAATGAAGTACAGATGGTAAGGAGATTTGTATCAGCAGAAGTCTTTCCTGGCTAGTAGTGACAGAAGCCCACTTCCTACTGCTTGTATTGGTTAGGGTAAGCTGTCTGCTGTAACAAAGAGGCCTGCAATTACCCAGTGGCCTAAACTAGACAATCTATTTCTTTCTCACATAGCCATCAGAAGTGAGTGGCCCTGCTGCATGGGGTTATTTCTAGAACCCAAATTCTTTCCATCAACTCTAGTGAGTTGACCAATTCCGCATGGATGGGCTAGTTCACTGAGGGTTCAACGGATGGGAAAGGGAAAAAGAGAGCATGGTAGAGGCACGACCTCAATTTATGGTCCAAGCCCAGAAATGGTACATTCTACTCTCATTCCACTAGTGAGACCTGGCCACACCTAACTGCAAAGGAAGCCGAGAGATGTAGTCTACTTGGCATCTATATGCCTTACTACAATTCTATTACTGTGGAAGAAGGAAGGTTGCATTTCATTGGATAATTAGTCATCTTCACTATATTGGTTAAGCAAAGAGCTATAGAGAAATAATTTTTTGGTGCATTCACTTGAAAAATCAAAGGATAGAATTGTCTTCAGGCCCACCCATCTGGACCTAAAATTTCCTCCCTAAAGATATCCGTAGCAAATCTAGGTTTGTATCCTATTAGATTAAAAACCTTCAAAGAAAAAGAATGTCTCTTTTTTCCATAGCTCCAAAGCCCCAGTGCTGATACTTACTGGTTTAGCTTGGCTCACATTGCTGAGTCAGGGAATAGAATATGACAATTTGATAGTTCTGTATCAGCCCCACCCACGGCATCAGGGAGTGGGTCAGCCCCACTCAATCCACTGGACTGAGAGTGGGAGAGGGATGGAGAGCCCAGAGGGAAGTGAAGATGGTGGCTGGGCAGGCAAAAACAATAGGCAAGCACCTTGACCATCCACTAATCCCCACCTACTGCCCCACAGTAAGGGACATGGGGCAGAACCCCTGACTTTCTCTGTGGCCTTGGCTAATGGTCTGGCAACTGTGGGCCAAAGAGTTCCCTCTGTAACATTGCTCCAGAGGGAGCACTGTTCTCTCCACCAGGGTGGGGGGAAAAAAAAAGAAAAAAACTCCACGTGTTTAATGCTGTCCATGGTGCTGAAGCAATGTGCCCCTTAAGCACAGATGCAGCCTGCACATTTTTTCTGTAAAGGGCCAGTTAGTAAATATTTTGAGCTTTGCCAGACATACTGTCTATCTCAAAAGTACTCATCTCTGCCACGGTAATGTAAAAACAACCGTAGACAATACATACACAAACGAGTGTGGCTAAGTTCCAATGAAATTTACTTTGGGACACTGAAGTTGGGACTTCATATAATTTTTACATGTCACAGTTTTTAGCCTTCTTTTGATACTTTCCCAGCAATTAAAAAATGTAAAGCTATTCTTAGGTCTCAGGCAGTACAAAAAAACATGTGGCAGGCCATATTTTCCCCATGGGCAAATCTGCTCTAAAGTTTGCTGAGCTAAAACAATCATTTTCTCCCAAATTCAAGGCAAAGCACATCCCCAATAAGGACCACCCTACATAGTCTTTTTTCTTCTATTTTAGTGAGGAAATGCTTTGGAAATTCATAAGACTAATAGAATCATAATTCACATTCAACAATTCATTCCCATAGCTGATACTGTGAGCTTTTAAAACTTTCATATTTCTGACATTTAAATCACTTCTCTGACTGGAAATCATAGGATATCTTGGATATGCTTTAAAAATCCAGTTAGTGGGGGTGGAGGATGAGAAGATAGAGATATAGATAAATCAAGATCGACCAAATGTTGATATTGTTGAAGCTAGGTGATGTGCTCATGGGGGGTCATTATTATCACTCTCCTTGTTGTATATGTTGGAATTTTCCCCCATAATTAGACACTAAAATATTTTTTCCCAGAAATTTGAATATTGAGAGTGTATCCCCCAGAGCTGCAATGATGTGCCACAAATAATCTGTCTATGGTTCTAACTCCATCTTTGCTTGTCAGGGCTCCTGCGACGTCCGCTGGCCTGAAGACAAGTATGAGGATCCAAGAGGAATCTATGATCAGGTGGCAGGAGACTTGGACCCTATGGAACCAGATGCTCTACCCTTTGAGCTAAGGGGACACCTGGTTTGAGAGCCTTCTCAACACCCTTTCCCTCCATCTGCAAGACATAATATTCCAGCGTTTCTTTTTATTCCAGTCTTGGCTGAGCTTCTTAAGTGAGCTCCACAAGCCACAAAGGGACTGGACTTGTTCAGAGGAGGACACAGAGGGGTGTATGTAAGTGACAGAAGGTGATTCAAGCTGGTGTCAAAGTATAAACAAGGCTCTTCCTGGGATTGGTTTTAGAAACCAAAAAGTCCAAAGGGACACAGTGAATTGTAAAAGACATCTCAATAATGAAAAGCTATTCTGAGGGTCTTTATGCTGTTTTAAAGTAAAATTTCAGAAGTGGGGAAAGACATATTAAAAACTCAATTCATTTTGAGTTCAACAACATCTGAAATATCTAATAATAAGTGGAATTTATGAACCATTGTTATATCCTACCTGTATTATTATTTTCCACAGTTATCTATAACATAATGTGTAAGCTATGACACATATGTAAACATAGACTATAGAAAATAAAATAAATAGATTTTACTGAAACAAGCTAGAAAAGAATACACAGTGTATAATTTTATTTCTAGAAATTCTAGAATGAGCAAAGCTAATCTATGGTGACAGAGCAGATCAGTGATTGCCTGGGGCCATGAGAAGGAATTGTTGCAAAAAAAGCATGAGAGAACTTTTTGAGGGTGATAGAAATGTTTTATATCATGATTGTAGTAATGATTACATAGGTGTATAGATGTGTTAGAACTCATTGAACAGTACACTTAAAATGAGTGCATTTTAGGATACATAAATTATGCTTCAGTAAAGGTAAGTTTAAAAACAGTGTCCAGGGGGGTGGGTATAACTTAGTGATAAAGCATATGCTTAGTACTCACGAGGTCCCGGGTTCAATTCCCAGTACCTCCATTATAAAAAAGAAAATACAAAGTGAAAACAGGGTCCGTAATAAAGCAGCCCAGCAAGAGAATTGTTATTCTTTGCATTCAAAACAGGAAAAGATAACTGGGAAATTTGTCTATTTCCATGGAGAACAGAGTATAGTTAAGTGTAATCTTTCTTTAGGCTTCCATTTCTACTTTATTAACCATATTATCAAAACTGTTTAGTTCAAATGCTTGTCCATATATTATTTTTTATTAACATAGACTAAGGTAAGTTTTTATACCACAGCACTTGAATACACAAATACATTACAGTCCAAATGATTTCCCTTTAATTAAGCATTTATTCGGTTCCTAAGAGTAGAATTTTTCTAACTGTATTTTTCCTTTTCTAAGAAGAAAACTACCACATTCTATTTCCACATTGGCTAAGCAGGAAAGATGAATTTATTGGCTCTTCTGGCTGACAATCCCAAGGGAGTGTTGGCTTCAAACACCGCTGGATCCAGTATGGAAACAAAGCTATAAGAGATCTACTTCTCTGTATCTCTTGACTTTGCTTTTCTCTGTGTTGACTTCATTCTTGGGTAGACCCTTCATATGGGAGACAAAGAGGGCCACTTACAGTTCCAGGCTGGCATTCCACAAGTTCAGTAGTCAGAGTATTTCTTTTGCCAACACTTTTGGAAAGTGCTAGGACTGTCTTTCATCAGCCCAGTTTGATGTCCATTCCTGAACTAATCATTATGGCCAGGGAACAAAATATGTGGATAATCCAGGTCCTGGGTTGCTCAGCACCACATAAACCACCTGGGTAACTCCAAAGGAACCCCCAGGCTGCAGCTGGGTCTCTTCAGGCATTTCTGACTTCCTCTTTGCCACTGCCTGAATAAATGTAACACATATCTATTGCTTCTGTCTGCTTAGAATCGAGTCTGTATTAATTTATGTAGATATCATTGAATAAGACAAGTTCCTAATTATGCTGAGCCCCTGGATCCAGCTATACCTGAAGTCAGAGCTACTCCTGGACTATAAATGCCCCTTCCCTCTTAGGTCAATATGAACGGTGCCTTCAGTTAGTTGCAACCCTTTCCTTTAAGCCAGTTTGAATGGGGTCTTTAGTAAACTGATACAGAAATGAACAATTTGCAAGGGGCAGAAACTCACTCAAACCAGTAGAGCATTTATTAGTTACTAAGAGAAAAGCGGTAAATTTCACAGTGGAGGGAACCTGACAAATGTCACCTTACCAAATTATCAAAGTTAACATTATCAGATAGGGAAAAACTGGATGTCACGGGCCTCTTGCTCATGGGAATGTAAATTAAGACACTTTGCCAAACTGTTTGGCTATATCTACTAATGCTGAACATACAAATACCATACAACCCTGTAATTATACTTCTAGGTTGACGTCCAATAAAAATGCTTATAAATGTGAATAAGAAACATGAACTGGAAAGTTCGTTGCTACCAGAAATTGGAGACAAGCAAAGTGTCCATCAAAGGAGAATGAGTAACTATACAGTATATTCATCTAGTGGATACTATGAGAGTGAGGACAAATGAACTACTGATCAACAACATGGGTGAATCTCTCAAACACAATATTGAATCAAGTAAGTCAGACCCCAAAGAGAACATATTGTATGATTCATCTGCTTAAAGTTAAAAATGGTCTGAACTAATTTGTGATATTAAAAGTCAAGAGTGATTTTCTTTGGAGAGAGGGAGACAGTGATTGGAAAGGGGCACAAAGGAGGGCTTCTAAGGGGTTGATAGTGTTGTTTTTTGACCTGGATGCTGGTTACACAGGTGGTGTCACTTTCTGAAAATTTATCACACTGAATACTTGTGATCTGTGTTATACGTTATTAAAATTTCATATTACAGCTCATATATGGCACTATGTTGGAATTATGATTTTCTGATATGAAAAACAACTCATGGTGCCATTCTGAACACATAAATTATAATTGTCACTCTATTTACATCATAGTTTAGTTTCAGAAAAAAAGTATTTTAAACCATACCAAAACTTTTCATACACGTGTATTCGTGTTATATTAATAATCTCAGATAATTATAAACTTTTCTTTTTACCCTTCTGAATGCCTTTAAGGGTGATTTCAAGTTGTTCAAGACTCAGATGGAGTTTCCAGCCTGCCTTGTCCCTGGCCTCTAAATCTCTGTCGCGCCCTTTAAATCACTGAGGCAACCAAAAACGTTTCCGCAAATTTACAAAACTCCCACCAGGGGGCGGTACTACCCCGTTTGAGAAGATCCAATCTAGCAGGTTGTGTACTGGGATCTGGAGCTCGCAGGACAGTGCTGGAGATAAAAACCTGGTGATGGTGATGGTAGGAGTGTCCTCTGAATATTAGGCAGTTGCCGAGTCCCAGATTAAAGGCTAAGTAACTGCGCAGGGCATGGAGGCATAGAGGACCGCAGGAGCACCGTTTCGGGAGGGATTTTCCTAAAATTGTCGCTAAAGAATGAAAACGAATATAGTTTGTATATGTATGACTGAAACATTATGCTGTAAATATGACACCAGAAATTGACACAACATTGTAAACTGACTATACTTCAACAACAAAAGAACTCGATCACCATGCTGCAAAGAAATCCCATCCTGGGACAATCTGTACTTTTCACATTTGTAAGTATCAACATCAGACTGATAATAATCTCATCACCACATCCCAGTTCACCCCCATGTCTCTACCGTAGGAGAAGAACTAAATTCTGATTGGTTAACACGTTGTCAGAGGTCAGAGAGCAGGACTTCCTCCTCCTACTACAGGAAACAAGACAACCACACACATCACCAGTTCCGTGTACGTGTGGCTCACCTATGCCTAATTTGAGAAAGGAGCAAATTAGTTCTCCCTTCAATAATCTCCCTCTATCGCCATCAACCTTTGAGATCCCTAAATGCAAGCAATTCACCTGCTATGTTTGGTTCTATCTCCTTGAGAACAAGCAAGGGGGAGAAAACAGTAAGACCCGCCAGCTGAGAAATAAAAATTATCTTCCACAAATGCTACGAAGGTGTTTTTTTTTCCACCTAGAACTGAGTTTTCCCACTGCTGTATATCTCCTTGAAACTTAATTAAAGAGCAATCTGGGCCCGTCTGCCTACCCATCAGCCTAAATATCCTGGGAAAACATCAATCATGCTGGGTAACTAAGTTTATCATGAGACCCTCTCACCAGAGAGAGGACGATCTTGGTACTGCCTTTGCTGGGGTGATGAATACAACCCCACAGCACCTGGATAAGCAATGCTGCTGTCAGCAACCACTCTCCAAGCAGCTCTATGTCTCCCAGCTGACCCTTACTCTGTCTCCTGCCAGGTCATGATTTTTTTGAGGGAGTGATGCTTGGGGCTTCTTCTACTTCTTGCTGGATCAGCACTGACTCAGGAAGTGAGTCTTATGGGGGGAGGGTACAGCTCAGTGGTAGAGCGCATGCCTAGCATGCACGAGGTCCTGGGTTCAATCCCCAGTGCCGCCACTAAATAAATAAATAAATAAATAAATAAATAAACCTAATTACCCTCCACCCACAAACAAACAAAAAACAAAGAAGTGAGTCTTATCCAGCACCTAATTGTTCCAAGTCCCTTGTCCAGCAAATGCCAAAAGAAATCACTAAATCATTCATTCCTTCAACAAAAATGAAGTCCTACGCTAAGCGGGGATATATTAAGGGTGAAAACAAATGTGGCCCCCACCCTCCTGATGCTCACAGTCTAGTGCCCTGGGAGAGATGAACTAAGTATTCACTGGAAGGTGACAGAAACTACAAGGCTGGTATCAGAGTATGAAATGGTTAAATCTCCCCTCAAAGGAGGGACAGGGCAGGCTTCATGGGGTGGGGGGGTGTCTTAATTCCTGAGACCTGAGGACATGTGGGAGTTAATTAGGCAAATAAGGAAGGAAGGAAGGAAGGGAAGAATTTTAAGGGAAAAGAAACAGTAAGTGGAAAAGCCCTGAAACAGGAGGAAGTTGGTGTGCCTGAGGGGCAGCTAGGAGTAAAAGAGGATGCAGGCCGGAGGCAATGTGGGAGCAAGTCAGAGAAGTGAGGGGCCAGGTTGTGGGGGCCACACTTCTTAGCTGGAGAGAACATTTTAATCACCAGGGGAGCTGGTGACACACCCAATGCCCGTGACCAGTTATATCAGACTCTCTGGGGTGGGCCCAAACATCAGAATTTTAAAGAACCCACGGAGTGCTGGAAACAATGCAAATCTCCTTCAGCAAATGGATGGATGGCCATACTGGGATACATCCACACAGTGGGAAACCACACAGCATTTAAAGGGAGCAAACTCTTGATACATGCAACAACTGAGATGAGTCTCAAAGGCATGTGCTGAGTGAAAGAATCCAGTCTAAAAATTACATACTGTATGATTTCATATATTTGACATCCTCAAAAAGACAAAACTACAGTGATGGAAAAGAGATGAGTGGTCATCAGGGCTTATGAATGGGGAGAGGGTGTGACTATAAAAGGAGTTTTGGAGTGATGATGAGATAATTCCTATCTTGATTGAAATGCGGGGGTTAAATGGAACTTTACATATGTCAAAACTCATTGAACTGTACACCAAAGGAAAAAAGTTGTTTTTAGCATATGATAATTTAAAAC